GACAGAGAAGCTGCCCAGAGGGGCTTCAGGCTGCAGAGTGGGGGTGCCTCATGTATGTAGCCGAAAATTTGTTTTTGTTTTTGCTTGTTAAATAGACATGGGGTCTCTGTGTCGCCTAGGTTGGAGTGCCATGACTTGACCATAGCTCAGTCTATGAATTGCTGTGCTCAAGCCATCCTCCTGCCTCAGACTCCCAAGTAGCTGATACTACAGGCATGTGCCACCATGCCTAGCTAAATTTTTTTTGTAGACAGAGTGTTGTTGTGTTGCCCAAGTAGTTCTCGAATTCCTGACTTCAAGCTGTCCTCCTGCTTCGGCCTCCTAAAGGACTGGGATTACAGGTCTGGCTGAGAGCTCAGACAAGAGGAGAAGCCATGGGCTTCCTCCTAGGAAGAGAGAGAGTTGGTAAAATTTGAGAGTTGGGCTGCGGAGCTTTTCAGAGGCAGCAGGCATCCCTGGAGCTGTAATATTTATTTCACATTTCTAGTCTGATACTGAACACCATGGATCCACAGCCATGGCATCCATCCTCCTCAGCGGATCATAAGCAGGAGGACAGTGTGGATATCTAGCTTTCTGTGTAGGACCAGCTCAGTTGTCCACAGGCAGAGAGAAACTGGGATTCTCTAGTCACCTGTTACCTGAGAGATGGCATTATCTCTGCCTTTTCTCTTGATCCTGTGGGAAATCCATGGTCCTCATGCCCCAGGCACAAGTGTTCATTCAACAGCTGTTGGTGGGATCCCTGCATCTGCCAGAGCTGAACTTAGTGCTTCCTTAGGCACATTGGTGTGCAGGGCAGATGGCCCCACCCTCTCAGAGCTTGTGATACTCCAGTCTAGAGCAGGGGTTCTCAAAATGTGGTCTCCAGGCCAGCAGCTCCAGGGACACCTGGGAACTTGTTAGAAATGGAGTCTCATTAGCCAGGTGTGGTAGCGCACACTTGTAGTTCCAGTTCGGAAGGCTGAGGCGGAAGGATCACCGGAGCCCTGCAGGTCAAGGCTGCGGTGGCTGGGAGTGGCCACTGCACTTCAGTCTGGGTGACAGAGTGAGACTCCAACTCAAAAAAAAAAAAAGGAAAAAGAGAAATGGAGTCTCTACCTTACACCTTCTGAAGCGACAGATACAAAGTGCTCAGAGCACAACCCTGAGGAAGGCCCTTCCTAGTGTTAACCTGTTCCCCTCAAACAATGAGCCCACTGGAAGTTGAAAATAGGTGCTGAGAGGGGACAAAACGGGGAGAGGGAGGGACATGCAACACATCCAGTGAAGGACAAGGAGTGAAGTCTGTGGCCACAAATTCTAATCCTCACAATTTGCGATGTGATTTGGGGCAAAACCCTTGCCCACTCTGATTCTTGGCCTTAAATAAGTGAAAAGGAAAGTTCAATGAATTGCGGCTTCTTAGTGAGTGGATTTGCACCTATCTGCAGACAGTCACACCTGCTGTTACACTTAGGCTAATCTGAAACACCTTTCTTTTTTTTTGAATTGGAGTCTCACTGTCGCCCAGACTGAAGTGCAGTGGGCTCCGGCGATCCTTCTGCCTCAGCCTTCCAAGTAGCCGTAATTACAGGTGCCCGCTACCACACCCGGCTAATTTTTTTATTTTATTGTAGAGATGAGGTCTCGCTTCCCAGGCAGGTCTCGAACCCGCGGGCTCAGGCAATCCACTCACCTCAGCCTCCCAAAGGCGCGGGATTACAGGCTTAGCCACCAAGCCAGTTTGAAACACCTTTCTTTGTGTGTATGTAATACCTGCTATTAAATAAAGGGCTGTTGCTAGGTGACAAATGAACACACTGCAGTAAGGCCTGTTTGTAATCTGAGAACAATGGCTCTAAGTTAGTACTTGAGTTAAGTTCTAATATTCTTGTTTCTTAATTAGAATGTAGGAGATGGGGTTTGAATCTATTACTTTGTCCTACTCTTCCTGGGTGATGCTCTGGTGGTGCTGGCAGGGCCATCGCAAGGCCCCTTGTCCCAGATTCCCTTGGGAATCTGATTTTTTCAGCACTGAGTCTCTGGGGTCAATGTGGTTCAGTTCGCTGTGCGAAGTCCAGGGGAGATAACCACACTGCGCACACACCAGATCAGCTGAGTCAGCATGAATGTGCAACTGTAAAAAGGCCATGGAGAGTGGGGGCTGGTGCCTGTAGCCCTCCCTGCCTGCCCTACAGGCACCTAGGGTGGTTGGGGGCAGAGTTCTGCAGATCTGGCTTCCCAGGGAGCCCTGGTGGATGGTGAAAACACTGGGCTCCTTCTGCCTGGAAAAGGGAAAGTTGGGCATTTCCATCCCAGAGGGAGGGGACAGCGGTGCTCTTGGCCTCTGTGCTGAACTACAGGTAAGGAGGCTGGTTTGTAAAGTTCTCGGGAGGGTCATTCCTCTCTATTGTTCATTCTGCTTGCAGCTCTCTTGACAACATCAGGCAAAACGTGTCTTAGCTGCTTCCAATATATATGCAGTTGGCAGAGATATTGGTGGAAGGCCTCGCTGTCCTGACCCACTGGGGATTGGTCACTGGGGGTTGGTGACCAGGACAGACACAGTCCCTGCCACCCCGCGCCCTGGTTTATTGTGGTGGGATCCCCCGCCAGGTGATCTGCGTCCATCTACTCCTGCTGCTGAAGGGAGCCTGGGCTCTGCTTTCCACCTCCTCCCACACGCTCCCCATGTGCCCTGCAGCCCCTAACCCTAGTCATTCCTTCAATACCACAGAGGCTGATGCCTCATCTTCTCAAAGAACAAGATTTCCTGACGGGGAAACCAGAAATGGAAGAAGCCTGTGCAAGTTTTCTTTTCTGAATTCTTTAAAATAAGAGAGATTTCTCTCCAGTTGTCCCTTGCCTTGTTTTAATTGTGGGGGTGCTGATCCTAGACACCCCGTCTGATCAGCTGACACGTAGGGAGTGCTTGGGTCCAGCTCAAGATGGATGCCACGGCCTGGCTTGGCTAGAGATGGAACACACACCAACACACTCCACACTACATCTACGACGGGAATGGCGGAGGCCTGCTCCCTGGCACTTTGGAGGAGACCTTTGGTAAAAGTTGAGTCAGCGAGACCTTGAACCTCTTCCAAGTTTCACAACCCAAAGAGGGAGGCGTGCTGGAAGCTCAGGGTGGGCACACTGGGCATGGTTCCCAGGAAGAAGGCTGCAGTGTGTTCTAGGAAGTGCGTTCCAAGAAGTTCTAAGAAGACTTTGAAAGATGGGGCTGGGGGTTGCCTCTCTGGAAAACTGTCTAAATGCAAGGTGATGAGGGCTTTGGTCCAGGGGAGGGAGCTAGGCATGGAAGGGGTTGAATCTGAGTGGCTTTGGGACTTAATGACAGACAGGTGTGGGGGAAGAATCTGAGATAACTCCGGAGATTGAGCATGGGAGCTAGGTATTCAGTGGGATCACTGGCAGAAACAGGATGACCAAGCCAACTTTCCTGGTTAGATTTCTACTGGGCTTTAGGAGTGGGTAGGAGATCTCAGTCAGGAAGCTCCATTGCTGGACCACCGTGAACGAGTGTTTCTGGGAATGGTCCCCCAGTGGTAGAGTTCTCAGCTTAGAGGGGCAGCTCTTGACAGGAGCAAATGTCAGGGCCTCTGTAGACCCCCAGTAATGTCCCGAACATCTTATGTGCAGTGAATGTAGGGCACACGGGTGGTGAGTTTCCTAGCAGTGCCCTCCTGCTGTGGTTTCCAAGTCAGTCTGGGTGGTGCTGAGGAGCTGTCTGCCAGGGCCTTGTCTCAGACACGATGCTCTCTCCTCCGAGGGATCCTCCTCTGACTCTGGCATGAAGACAGTGTGCAGATTCATGCAAATTTCTCTGAACTTGAACATTCTGTGCGTTCCTTCCCTGGACGTGTGAAAGATAAGGAGCTGGATAGCAATGCTGGGCGGGTATCTTCCTGATATTGGTTTGCTGAGATTAAGCTTTCTTCCCTTTCTGAGAAAAAAAGGCACAGGATTCAGGCAAGTGGGGATTGAAACACAGCTGAGTTGTAGGAAATGTAACAGGCAGAGCTAGAGAAACAGAAAGTAGATTCGTGGTTGCTTAAGGGCCTAGGGAGGGATAGGGTGATAGAGGAGGGATAGCTAAAGGCTACGGGATTTCTCTTTGCACTGAAGAAAATGTGCTAAAATTGGCTGTGGTTGTGGTTGCACAACTCTGAATATACTAGAAACCATTCCGTTGTACACTTTAAATGAGGGACTCGTATAGTATATGAATTATGTTTCGATAAAGCTCTTACACACACAGCTAACATGTGTGGCCATAGTTGGGTTCCCTAACACTGCCCCCTCTCCCTGAATTGAACCTAATCTCTCAGCTCCTCAGACCTCCCCCTTCCCCTTTGTATACCCCAGGACAGACCCCCCCCCCAAGAGAGACAGAGCAAGGTTGCTCCTCCTCCCACAGGGGATAGAGTTAAGAGGCTGTGGAATGAAGCCTTCCCAGAAGCATCATGCAGAAGGCCCCTCACAGCAACACAAGGCCTCGGAGATGCAGCCCTCAGCACCCAAGGCTGTGCAGAAGCCAACCCAAGTTTCTATCTTCCCAGTATGGTTAACAATTTTCTTTTTTTTTTTTTTGAGTCGGAGTCTCACTCTGTCACCCAGACTGGAGTGCAGTGGCCACTCCCGGCCACTGCAGCCTCGACCTGCTGGGCTCCGGTGATCCTTCCGCCTCAGCCTTCCGGGCGCTATTACGCCAGGCTAATTTTTGACTTATTGTAGAGATGAGGTCTCGCCAAGTTGCCCAGGTGGATCTCGAACCCGCGGGCTCAGGCAATCCACTCACCTCAGCCTCCCAAAGCGCTGGGATTACAGGCTGAGCCACCAAGCCCGGCTAACAATTTTCAAAGTTTAGTAGGATTATGGGTCAAATGTAAACAAAATTGGGGATTGGGTGGGGGAGAGACAGGAGGAGCTTGTTGGGAATCTCTACCAGCTGTCAAGGCCTCGCTGGCAGTCCCTGATGTGATGGTTTCTCCCTCATCTTGCAGGAGCCATGTGGCTGGAAATTCTCCTGACCTCAGTGCTGGGCTTTGTCATCTACTGGTTCATCACCCGGGACAAAGAGGAAACTTTGCCACTTGGAGATGGGTGGTGGGGGCCGGGCCCGAGGCCCACAGCCAGGGAGGACGAGAGCATCCGCCCATTCAAGGTAGAAACATCAGACGAGGAGATCAAGGTAAGGCACCTTGTTCCAGGCAGGGCTGTTGTTTCTCTGAGACTGGGATTGGGTCTTAGGCAGGGTGAGTGAGAGATAGGGGCTTGGGAACTGGTCCATCCCTCTTGGGAGGGCTTTTCAGTCTGCTCATCTCCTACTAGGCAGGTGCAGGTGCAGGTTGCGCCAGAGAGGTGTGCCCAGCTTGCCCACTCTATCTCTTCCCCTTTCCCCTACCCACAGCCCAGCAGTGCCCGCAGGAGAGGGGCTGCCAGCAGGACCCAGTTACCCACGCCAAAGGTCACAGAAAGCAACTGCAATCACCTTTTCTGTGCCCTGCCTGAAACCTTGGGCGTGAGATTGTGGGAGAAAGTGAGAAGATTCCCGTCTGGGCCCCAGGTAGCACTGGCAGGGCTGGCATTGGTTAGGCATCTGCTGTGTGTCAGCCGCTCATGGTCACATTCAGTCCCCGCAGTCATCCTGCAGGGTGAGGACTGTTGTTCCCATCCTGCAGATACAGAAACTGAAGCTCAGGGAGGTGAAGCAGTTTGTCCAAGGTGACTGAGCTAGTAAGGAGAAGGTTTTAAGTCAGGGCTAACTCCAAAATCTCTGCCCCCTCCTCTGCACAGGACTGGAGTCTGGAGGGAGGTGACCAGGGAGTGGAGTGACCTGAGAGTGCAGCCTCAGGAAGGAGCGAGGCTTGAGGGGGCCAGGAGGTGGGCAGGACCTGCGTAGGCCTGCCCATCCTTTCTTCCTTTCTGTGGGTATTTGAGCGCCTACTGTGTGCAGGCACTCTGCTGCATGCTTGGGAGAAGCGACACCCTTCCCTCCCATAGCCTATCACCCAGCAGGTGAGAAAAGGAATGTGCGTAAAGCAAAGTTGACTCAAAGATGAGGATAATTCCACAAGAGGTGGTGATAAAAAGCCATGAGAGTTCAGAGGAGGAAGGGTTTGAAAAGCAGAAGCTGGGCTAGACTCAGGAGAAACCAGGCTGAGGCTCCCTCGGTAGGACTTTCTTCTACCCTGCTATTTAGGGCAGAAGCTGAGCCCTGAGAAAAACTCCTTTAGGGACTTCCTTCTTAGACTCCCTTAGGAGTGGAAGATTTCCAAAACCTGTTTTGGGGTGACCAAAGCACTTGGGAGGAAGCCCTGGGAATGGTGACACTTGAGAGGCTCTCTGAGCCAACTCGAACTACCCCCACCCACCCCCGGCCCCCTGCCACTGGGGCTAGCCCTTTAGCCAAATACACGCCCACTAGACAGACTTGCAACCTCGCTCTTGGTCCGTCATGCTTATCCCAACTGCGTTATAGTGTATCATTCAGTGCTGTATGTCAGGGATCCACAAACCATGGCCCGAAGACCAAGTGTAGCCTGCCACCTGTTTTTACATAGCCCCCACGCCAAAAACAGTTTTTACATCTTTAAATGGTTAGGGGAAAAATTCAAAAGAAGAATATGTCGTGACATGTGATTTCAGTGCCCATTAATAAAGTTTTATTGGAATGCAGTTGCGCCCATTCTTTTACACATTGTCTGTGGCTACTTTCACTCTGCAAAGGACAGAGTGGGGTCATCGCAGCTCACAAAGTCGAAAATGTTTACTGTCTGTCCCTATACAGAAAAAAATATGCTGACCCCTACTGTATAGAAGCCTAGGTAAATTAAAGATGGGTATTGTTTATATATTTAAAAAATAAAGATGGGAACTGGGTGCGGTGACTCATGCCTGTAAATCCAGCACTTTGGGAGGCTGACACCATAAGATTGCTTGAGACTAGGAGTTTGAGACCAGCCTGGGCAAATAGCAAGACCTCATCTCTAAAAAGATAAAAATTAGCTAAGCATGGTGGTGTGCACTTGTAGTCCCAGCTACTCAGAAGGCTGAGGCAGGAGGATGGCTTGAACCTAGGAGTTTGAAGCTGCAGTGAGCTATGATCACGCCATGGCACTCCAGCCTGGGTGACAGAGCAAGACCCTGTCAGAAAAGAAAGGAATAAAATGTAAAATAAATTAAAAATGGAAGATGAGAAGTAAATCTGGAATCTACAGTGAACAACACACCCTTTGGGAATAGCCAATAATGTGGAACTGCTTTGCCACTGCTATAGTACTGTCTCTTGTAGCTGCGGGGTTCTTGTGTTTTCTGGATACAGATTTTCTCTTGTTCTCTGCCCTACCCACCCGTCTCTTCTTGGGGTCCTGCATGTGGCTCCAGGACTTGCACCAGAGGATTGATAAATTCCGTGTAACGCCGCCTTTGGAGGAGAGCTGCTTCCACTATGGGTTCAACTCTAACTACCTGAAGAAAGTCATCTCCTACTGGAGGAATGATTTTGACTGGAAGAAGCAGGTGGAGATCCTCAACAGATACCCTCACTTCAAGACGAAGATCGAAGGTATGTTTCCAAAACACCAGCGAGAGAGGAATGTGTGTCTTGGAACTGCTTTCTTGCATGATGTGACTTAGAGTCAGACGACGCTGGGGAGATCCAGAATCAATTATAGGTCACTGAGGTATATTTGTAAGTTGTAACTTTACCAGAATGTAAAAATCATGCAGTCCCAGCAGATTCATTGGTCTTTAGAGATAGCCAGGAAAACATTTAAGTAATTTAAAAACCGGAGAAATGTAGCATCTAGTCCAATGATGTGACATCTTTTGAGAGAAATTGAAGATAGGATTTAGACCTGGGCATGGCCTTAGTCAGCTCAGCCCCTTCTTGAAGTTTTGGAGTCTTTGATATCGTGACTGTTCAAAGATGCTGTCTGTCAGTCAGGATTCTGTGAAAAATTGTCCTTTCGGTAGCCCTAGGCCTCATGTCCCAACTGTATCACAGGTTGTCATACAGCCTCACCAGGAAGAGAAGGTATCTTCCAAAATTTTCTTGGGAAGGTAATCCTAGGATCATTTGGGAGAAGGTCATCGTTTCCTTAGTGGAAAAACATTTTTTCACCCCAAAAATTTAGAATCAAATATGAAAATGTTTATGAAAATCAAACTCATACTGTTAATTTTTTTTTTTTTTTTTTGAGTTGGAGTTTCACTCTGTCGCCCAGACCGGAGTGCAGTGGCCGCTCCCGGCCACCGCAGCCTTGACCTGCTGGGCTCCGGCGATCCTTCCGCCTCAGCCTTCCAAGTAGCCGGAATTACAGGCATGCGCTACCATGCCCGGCTGATTTTTTGATTTATTGTAGAGATGAAGTCTTGCTGCCCAGGCGGGTCTCGAACCCGCGGGCTCAGGCAATCCACTCACCTCAGCCTCCCAAAGGCGCGGGATTACAGGCTGAGCCACCAAGCCCGGCTCATATTGTTAATTTTTAAATTTTTATTTATTTATTTTTAATTGTAGTAAAATATACATAACATAAAATTTGCTATCTTGACCTTTTAAGACACAGTTCAGTGGCATTAAGTACATTTACATTGTTGTTCAATCGTCGCCACTGTCCATTGCCATAACTGTTTTCATCTTCCCAAAATGAAATTCTGTGTCCATTAAACAATAACCCCATCTTCTCCCTCTCCCAGCCCTTGGCAATCACTAGTCTTCTTTCTGTTTCTTTTTTCTTTTTTTTGAGTTGGAGTCTCACTTCTTCACCCAGGCTGGAGTGCAGTGGCATGCACGCTCATGACCATCCCAGCCTCGAACTGCTGGGCTCCGGCCATCCTTCCACCTCAGCCTTCTGAGTAGCCGGAGCTACAGTCGCACACTACCATGCTCAGCTATTTTTTTTATTTTATTGTAGAGACAAAGTCTCACCAAGTTGCCCGGGCTGGTCTCGAACCCACGGACTCAGGCAATCCACTCGCCTCTGCCTCCTAAAGTGCTGGGATTACAGGCTGAGCCACCGAGCCTGGCCTCTTTTTTTCTTTTCTTTTCTTTTCTTTTGAGTGGGAATCTTACTCTGTTGCCCAGGCTGAAGTACAGTGGTATCATCACAGCTTACCACAGCCTTGACCTCCTGGGCTCAGGCTATCCTCCCGCCTCTGCCTACTGAGTAGCTGGGACTAGAGGCACACTCCACACCCAGCTAATATTTTAAAATTTTGTGTAGAGATGAGGTCTCACCACGTTGCCTAGGGTGGTCTTGAACTCCTGGGCTCAAGCAATCCTCTCACCTCAGCCTCCCAAAGTGCTGGGGTTACAGGTGTGAGCCACCATGCCTGGCTTCTTTCTGTTTCTATGAAATGACTACTCTAAGTACCTCATATAAATGGAATCATACAGTATGTGTCCTTTTGTGTCTGACTTATTTTGCTAAGCATAATGCCTTCAAGGTTCATTCGTGTTGTGTCAGTTTCCTTCCTTTTTATGGCTAAGATTCCATTGTATGTATTACCACATTTTGTTTATCCATGCGTTCACTGGTGAACATGTGGGTTGCTTCCACCTTTGGCAATGGTGAATCATGCTGCTGTGAACGTGGGGGTACAGATACCTCTTGAAGACTCTGCTTTCAGTTAGTTTGACTGTCACCCAGAAGTGGAATTGCTGGATTATATGGTGTCAGAGTTGCCATACTGTTTTCCACAGTGGCTGTACCATTTTGCTTTTCCACCAACAATTCACAAGAGTCCCATTTCTCCAGTCCTTGCTGGTATTTTTTCTTTTCTGTTATTTATTTATTTATTTAATGTTTTTTTTTGAGTTGGAGTCTCACTCTGTCACCCAGACTGGAGTGCAGTGGCTGCTCCCGGCCACCGCAGCCTCGACCTGCTGGGCTCTGGCGATCCTTCCGCCTCAGCCTTCCAAGTAGCTGGAACTACAGGTGCGCACTACCACGCCCAGCTAATTTTTTGAGTTATTGTAAAAATGAGGTCTCGCCAAGTTGCGCAGGTGGG